ACAGAAAATTCTCATATTCATCTGTAAAAAGAAGACATAACATTGTGGGAATTCTTATTTTAGACGAATCAATTTGAAAAGTTGTACACATGAATTTATATTTAATCTGGAATAAATAAAGCCACTCATATACTCATATGTTTTAGAAAATGTTCTAAGTAATGCACCAAGAATAACTTGGTGGGGAGCATGAAAGTGGAACTTCTGAACAGGAAGTCAGCACTACACAATGGGTGTCAAATGGTCAGATGTTTGATCCCCGGCTGATACACTCTTTTTTACCTTGCTAAGCCAGTAATAAGACCGGTAAAGAGGAAAGGTTGGGCATGAGGCTGGCAACCTCATCCTGTAAAAATAATCATCATTGCTACAGAAATTTCAAGCCTCTAGCTTGAAGCCCTGTATTCCACTGGGAACGTAAAGGAATATAAGAAGTGTGCAGTTTACCTGCTTCTGTTCGTTCGTTCCTTTGGATTACTGAGTACGTCATCAAAATATTTCAGAAATGTGATGAATAACCAAAATCGTAACTGGCATGTGTGTTAAGGTTAGTAAGTTTAAGCTAGGGTTATGTAATGTGAAAACGTTCAGGAAAAAGTGAATGTTAGTAAAAGAGCATGGAAGCAAGTATCAAAATAAATTATGTAATAGGTGAAAATAGTGAATTGAAGGTTAGTTAAGAAAATGATGATACCGAAATGCACACAAAAGTATTATCAACGAAATATTGTTAAAAGTTTAACATGGATTTATACTCAAGGTAGAAAGAGGAGATGCAGAAAATTCTTTTATGTACGTAAAGCAGAGGTTGTCCATTGGAATTGCTGAATTTCCGACAACTGACGATTTTTGAGAGGCTTCTTTTGACTTTGTAGATAACCTCGAATTAATTCTCTTTGCATTTTGAGTAAGTGGGGTTCAGTACAAGTCCAATTATAGCACTCTTATATGATCTACTGTTACGCCTTCTTAGCGAAGCAGCGTAGTGTTCTTTGACTCTTTTAGATGCAACACTCATCGAATAATCTATATATGCCGCTCCACGTGAACAAGTGATTTAGTAGATACACATGAAAAGTGATCACATGCGAAAGTTTACTTTTAAAGTTGTTAAAAGATATTTGGAGGCAAGAGAATACCAGTCGTAGTGTTTGATATTCTCTTTTTTAGCGTGTCAGCCAGAAGGTCACCTCTGAATGCCCCATCCACATATGGTATCTTCTTCAGGATAGAAATAGGGTGTTGTTTGTTGATTTTGGGTTTTATGTGTTTTTCTATAAAGCACGGGTTATAGGGGTGGGTAGCTATCCTCAAGTAGTGTCTTCCTCAAAAGAGTAATTCAGGGCTGCAGATTATTCAGATCATAGTTGCAAGAAATAGTGTTGGGTTCCGCTTGTCTTTATTGGGTATAGTAACCCAAACTGATTTTTATTCTTGTTTGAGAAGCCTTAAGTATACACAGATACATGAAAATGATGATATATAATTTCGATTGTACAGCTAAGTAAATGAATTTTCCGAAGAGACTGTTTGCTGAACTGTCTGTTCTTATTTATATAATCTAAATTACTACAACACCAAAATTTTATTGATTAGGCGTCCTAGGGTGGATTGAAGAACGAGTAAATCGATAAGTTGTCTACACGTATTACAATTACGGTATGACTCAGTAAATAACTTGTAAATTAATCTCTGACTGGGTGGCCAACATTTCAGTTTAGAGGAGCAGTAACCGATCACTGTTTTAGTTAAGCTAATCAAAGCTTGGCTCATTTAGCATATCATCTTCCGGAGCATTAGTTTATAATATTAAATTAATCTACAGAGGTTAATTGGTGTAATTAAACAGCTTCAGTATTTTTGACGCTCTTGATCTCTTAAATTTAACCTAATAAAATTTTCGACAAAATTAAAGAAATTATGATTTCATCCGATTTCAACTTCTAACTTTCATAGGATGAGTGTCAGAAGATAGTTCTCATACTTCTAATAGTAAGCACATGTTTTCATTTTGTAAATGCAATTTTCAGAAAATTTGGAGCTTGGATTGTGAGTAGTGAAATCACTTAGCTATAGGGAGTACATACTCAAGTATAGGATTGGAAATTGTGTAACCTGCAATATCCTCGTTAACTAACAATCGTTACAACAAATGTGATGATCCTTATATGCAGAAAAAGTTTGCTTAAATCCTCTAGTTCTCATGGTCTTAATCCTTGCTATGCTAAAGTGTGACAATGCCCTTTATAATTTGGCCCTATTTAAGTTTCGTCTTGTTTATTCTCTTTATATATTCTTCGCTTATTATGTCAACTGTTAGCATTAATTTCACTCTGAACAATTTCCGGTATTATCTCGCTTGTTACCCTTATTCATTTAATTCAATAAAAGTTTCACAGTTATCACCTTGTTGCATATTGTCCTAACTGCTTACTAATCTTACTATTTCTACACTTTTCTAAGATGCAAAGTTGTTTAGGATTATACAAATGTTGGTGTTTTAGAGGCTTTCTTATTTGTGGTAAGCTGCTTACAAAAATGTATGACAGAATAAAATTAATTTTAATATGTACCTATGAAAAGTATCAATTCTTGTCACAGTCCATATAATACCTTTAATTGATGATCAATGTTTCAGCTTATATTCCCATCATAATAATATCTTTATGATTTAGTAGACTCCAAGATGGTATTTTGATAATTACTTTTTTGATGAATGTCTAATCTCTGTCAAGCTTGCATTCTTATTTCTCATTCATAAGAAATATTTGAATGATATGATAATGATAAACACCTGTGGGAATAGGTCATTGGATTGTAAGATAATCAACTGGTTAACGACAACTAGCAGTGGAACCGGGGATGCGCATTTCGTTTTATTTGGGACTCGTCACTGGATGCAGTTGCATTTCCCAGTGAACGATGGTGTTCTCACCGAGGCTCGAACCCAGTGCTCATAGTTTTAAATGCCAAAGCTTTATCCACTAGACCTATCTAACCATGACAGCCACTTCTTGTGCAACGGGTCTTATTAATTATTTAATTTAGGTTTTCCCATCGACTGGTTGAACCGAAGTCCTCGATCTCAGGTTGACATGCCGGCTCCTTGTGAAGATGTTTAGACAATGTCTGGTCAGGCATCTTGGGTTCCACTTCTAGCACCACCAACCAACGAGGCGTTGTCGAAGCACTTGCAAAAGGAGCCGACGTGTCAACCTGAGACCGAGCACTTCGGTTAAATCAGTCTACGGGAAAATCTAAATTGAATTGAATATTAAGATTATGTTTTACTATTTGTTAGTTCCACTTGAATATGATGGTTATAATGAATTCTTTTTCTTGTTTGTCAGATATAATATTTTACACGTTCTGATAAACTTGACAGACTTCAGATAGTAATTAAGCATGTTTCAAAAATTTGACAACTTTGGAGAGGCAAATACAGTTAGTTGACTAAGGGTTAAATGGTCGGTTTTGTTTTTGCAAATAGAACTCTTTAATAAAACAGTTTGGTGTCATTAACTACATTTTTCACAAAATGTTCTTCACCATTACTTGATCAAAACATACTGAGACGACAGAAAACAGTCAAAATCTTTATATTTTATCCTTATATATTACTTATAAATTAGTTTTACTACACAAAATTTATGCCGTGCAACAAGTGATGACACAGTTATCATTTGGAGCAGATTCACTAACTGAAAAATGGCAAATTCGACGTCTGTTTTTACAAGCATTTTTGTTTAAAATGGATTCACTGAAGACCATACTTTTAAGTGTTTAAGATAATCTGAATGAACTAAATGAAGACTATATTTACCCGTTTTTCATTTCAATAAGTCTGAGTTCCCCAAGGAAAATTCATTCGAAAACTAAAATTCACTTCTTTTCGAGTTAACTGTTGTATGTTCAAATTTGTTTTATTTATTAAATCTAACCTAGATATGAATATATATGCCATGAGTCTATTGTAGTTTTGAAATGCCCCAGCTAAATATAACTGTGCATTTAATTAAACATTTCCTTGTTGGCTAGTTGTTACTAGAGTTGAAAAAGCAGGGAGGCAATTTTTTCACCCAACTACTCAATCTATTTGAGTTATTGGCATTGTTTATACACTAGACTAATTGCTAATACTGATGATTTTAATTTCACTGATAAAACAACTAATGAAAACAAATATTCTAATAAACCTGTAAACTATTACTAACAATTAGCAGATATAGTATGTAATATTGTGTTTTATTTAATCACGATTTAAAGGTGCAGTAGTGATGAAGTAATATTATTACTATTTTGTGCTTAGTGAGTTTAGAAAACCACATGATTTATCCATTAATTAGGTTTATAAATTCACTGTGACAATGTTACATTTCTATGCATGTAATTTAAGTGTTCGAAGCTATAACTGTACTCTAAAGAAAGAATTATCTATTCTAGATGTTGGAATATCATTCTTTTTTTCTTAATGCTATAGATATACTTTGAATACAGATATGTATATGTTTAGAAGGTATGTACAAGTGGGGTATATGACTATATGTTCTTTCAATATGAATATCAGTATTGTGTAAATGATACCATCATTGAATAAAGTAATAAGTGCTTATAGTCTGTGTGCTAACTGCGTGTACATAATAAATATATAACGTATTAATTCATTTCAATGTCAGCTGATTGCATTCTAAATGAAAGACGACATTTAATTGTAGGTCAGGTGAATAGAATGTTGAAGATTTCAACTAATTGGATGGTATTGCATAATCTAATAAAATGCAAACATAGTAAATATTGCATATTTGTATATTTAAAATTAAAATTAACCTCTTAATTTACTTATAATGCATTTATTATATTAAATTCATTTCATTTATTTAAATGATAGTATATCCTGTAAGTAGAATAATGAAACACAGCTGCTAAAGTATCTAAGAATAATAATAAAGATTTATTTCAGACAATATGCGAAAATATGGTACAAAATTTTCGGCGTATTTAGTTCCAAAATGCTTTTTTCTTCATACAGAATTTACATGTAAGGTGATAATCTGAAGTATATCTTCATTTCGTTGAAGAATTGCACAGTGTTTACTTGAAAGCACGTTAAATCAGTGCGCAAGTTCATTTATAGGTCATTTGATGCAACTGGGCGATTAAAACAGTTGTAAATCCAGATGAAATTAATCATTTTTGGTGGAAAGCAATACATATCTGTGTCTTGTTTTGGATAGCTGCTGAATGAAGAATAAGGAATATTTTTGAGTGGTGTCAAAAGAAATGGACAAGAAACCATTATTTACTGAAAGTTTTAATGATTTTTGGTTCTTTTTTTATTAGATTCAAATGATTAGATATTTTCGGTATGTGAGCTTTAGGAATAGACATCTCACTGATGAGTAGTTGAAGAGAATCTGCTGAGTTGAGAATGATGAATAAACAAATCACTAGTGATTTTTCACTTAAGAGAAGTACTACACTAGTTGTGAGAAATAAAAGCAAAAAAAGTTTGTTTTATTAAAAATATTATAAGTAATCAACTATTTAAAAATAAACACAAATACACAAGAAATTATAGTTTTCTAGCAAATATAAACTGTTGTATTGCTTTCTTCGTGAGTAAAGTAGGTTGTGATAACTATCTGTTGGCTCCAATCACTTCAATTAAACTATTTGCTCCACTTCCGTTATAAGTACGTCTACAAATGACAGTGGTGTAAACATTAGATTTGTACAAAGATATATATATATATATATATATATATATATATATATATATGACGGTTGCTTCATTCCATGATAGTAGTAGTAGTATTTGTAATTGGATTGATGGCATTAAAACTTGAATTAGTCTCCACCAAGTCGTAATTTCTTATGCAGTGTAGTGTCAAAGTAATCAGCAAGCACCAGCTATCATTATTCTTACTGTCATTACTAACAGTAAGTCTGTCAACTTCGTCCACGTGTATATCATGAGTTAACCAACTCACTGAAAATTCAGAACTGTTTATTATTGTACAACAAATACGAAATTATATTATGAATAAATAAAAACTTGAGACTGTTATAGAAGTGTATTATTTCTATCTTTTGATATACGATTACATATAAAGTGAGTAGTGTTTGCGAGATAATAACGAAACACAGGGATATGATGGATTTCACATCTGATTTGTTTTAAAAATGAAATAATCAGTATCGTGACATCTGAAGAGGATAAGGTATTCAGCTGGTTCCGGAGGCAAACTGAAATGTAACAAGAAAAACAAACGAACATACAAAATAACAGAATGTTAGAACATGTTGATTACTGTTTTAGTAAATAGATCGCATCACTGAGAAAAATCTTTTCAGTTTTAAGTGAAAGGATCAAGTGAGATGGTTTCGTTTTCATTGTCAAATAATACAAGAAGCAGAATATCCAGTCAAGAGACTGGTTACGTTACAAGTGCCATCAAAATATACATTCGTAGATATATAATCTTTGGAGAAAACGCGGCAGTTATAATCATATTTAAAGACTGAACGATCAAAACTTGAACTATGAAATGTGTAGAATCATTCATAGAATGAGCATAAATTAAAAGAATTAGTCAAACTAGTGTGTTAAGTGATGCCAAAAATCACTCAAATTTAATTTGAACAAAGCAGCGATAATAAGATTTATTCTTCGTATCAGATTTAGACGTTTTGGTAAAGACCACGTTTAAGAAAGAGGGTGATCTATAATAATTTAGGAAATAGCTTTGGTGTAACTGTTTAAATCAGTGAAGTAATACAAGACGATGAAAGAATGTAGAATAGACCAACGGATGGTTTTTATTTGTCCATCGTGACAACATAATTTCATGTACTTTCAAACGTACTGGATAGCATCTTTTGGTTTCAGAAGACATACCTTGTTTCACAAGAACAGATCAGCTAGTAGGTATACAAAGAGGCTTTCTAAATAGTCTGCTTACCTATCAAGTAGATGAAGATTAGTTTCTTCACTTCAGTCATAAAGAACATGCTCTTAGGTACAATGGAAATAAAATGCAAAAATTGTGTCTGATACTTGACAACCTTACTATTGACATATGAGCTGCGGATTAGTTTTCTTATCTTTCTTTCATACATTCATTTATCAATAAAGTGGCTGGCGTAACTGTTTCCATCAACAGTGAATCACAGGAAGTATTGTTCCCTGGAATATAGTTTAGACTATTGATGTTTCTCATTTAATGACAGGTGGAAAGTTTCTTTCTCCAGTGATGGTGACCATTCAGGTCGGTTGGTTGTTCATTCCATTTCACAGACCAACTATTAAATCCCGTTTAAAAGTAATCGGCGAAAGTATTTTTTGATTTTGGTTCCGCCTTTGAGATAGTCTTGGAGTCTTACTTGCAGTTACTGGAAGTTGTCCATATTGGTATCCTCATCAAAGGTGACTTATAGGTATTTTACATATTTTGAGCAAATGTCAAACGTCTTTTGATTAAACCAAGTTGTGTTGGGTAGCTTTGAAAATATAGTTCACCGATGTTCCTAGTGGGGAATTTGTCACTATCTTATTTTTCATTTTAAGTGAATTCAGTACTAAAGACTAAATGAACACCAAATACAATTAGGAAAAAAGATTTATAGGAATGCTAAATAGAGATCTTCGGATCAAACTAAGAGCACAAATATAGTCACGTATCGACAGGTTGACGAGAAATAAAGGAGTGTCTGTTGAAAACACAACGAATTCTGAAGTAATAAAATTTATAATACCGTCGGTAAAATGAAGTTTTGGATGTATAGAACATGTGGATACAATATCTCTGAGTCCTTTGTCGAAGAATCAGAGATTAAAGACGGAGCGAAAACAGACAGTCCCATTTCAACCGACTACAAAATGCTTTATTCTTTTAATGCTTTTAACACTTTTATACCATTCTCTAGTATGCGAGAATTTTACTGACGATTCTGCACATGAAATAAAATACACTTTTATTGTTTACTTTTTAGCTTTGAATAAAACTATATTTTTAATCATTGTTATGGCAATTTATGTTTAATTTCCGTGGGAGAAATAGTTTTCAAGTATCCTAAATGCAAGTAATGTAGCATAATAAGGTAGTTCATGGTTTTATTATGTTCCATAACCTGGATGGTCTAATTGAAAAACTTTCATTGCCTTCTCGGACAACATCTTCAGTGGTATCCAATACTCCAACTCCATACTGAATTTAGTGACGAAGATGGTGTCCAAAAGGATACCGGTGATTTCACTGTTAAACCACTCTGCTCAGACAATATAACAATAAAAACGTTCACCTGAGCTACAAATCTCCATTATATCTCCAAAGAAGTACTGTGATTTACTTTTCTCTCAGTAGTTGCTGATTTTTTTAGAACATGAAATTACAATTTCTTAAGTTGTTTCATTATTGGCCTTTTAAATGCATGGAAATGTAACTGCCCATTCTTTTTAACTTTGTTTTCTCTAGTAAACTTTGATTCTTGTTATGTATAAATTACTATATTTAAAAGTATACTCGAAGTTGCCGATACACCAAATCACCTTCACTAGTATCTTGAGACCCAAACTAAAATTCACAAATCAAATGGTGTGGGCACTGTCATTATGTGAGTGTTCCTCAGTTTTTAATTGCTGGACTTGTTGATATAATTATCATAACACTTAAGTCAAATGAGTATAATATAAATTGCTTTATCTGTCAGATGTATCACACAGTGGGACAGCATTATATTTTGTATGACTTTCCAAGCATGAATTAGTGTCTTGAGCCATATGGGACTTTTTATTAAAGTCACAAAATCGGTTGTGTATGCAATAATAATTTGATTATTATTTCACGTGAAAACTTTCTTAAAGGAATAACAGTGTAACCATATATCTGATTAGTTATATTGTAAATTACCCAAGTTAAAGGATGGGTAACATTTCTTTGATATTAGTATTCAAAGCGTTTTGAGGAAGATATCTTGACAGTTTGTTGTTATTTCACTGAGCAGAAATTTAATCGTACGAACAATAGAAAAAAGACATTGGCTATCTGGTAATCTTCAAATAGCCAGAATGAATAAGTAACAAGAAACTCTGGCGACAAACCAACTAAGAGCCAATTGCTCATCAGATATGTGGGAGAAAATGCAGATGGATCGAACGTACACTGAGGAGACTGTTGAATAACATCGTGGGCAATGCAGGCCATTGCTTGAGTGGAATCCACATAGGAAGCGACGAGTGGGTCTTCAGTGTGTGGATGACATAGAGGAGATCTTGTTAGGAGGAGATGAGAGATTATAAGCAGTCGCGGACCTAGGTGAAGAGGATGGCAGAAAATAGGAGAAAGTGGAGATATGTTGTTGAAGCCCTATTTTCCATCCGCAACTCAAGGGAATATTAATAGTAATACTTTTCATTTTGACGTTAATTGAAATTTCTACTTGGCCTAGAACTCATAAATGTTCTGTAGACATATAAGTGATTTTTAATGTATTCCAAATCAATGTAAAATTCAACCACCTGACAAGATTTTGTATAAGGAGTGGGGTTTAGGAGTAATTTCCATCCGCTTTCTGTGTTATGGTAAATTCAGTTTCTTTATCATGTACGAAGTTCACCAGTAAGTAAGGTTGGTAGTGATCCTCTTATATCAAATGTGAAACTTAAAGAAAAACTAGCTATTCACTTAAATCTACTTATGTTCAGGCCTGGCAGGTTATAGTTGAGTAAACTATTAGTATGATGTGTTAAGAACAAATGACATATGGTTTGATGACACTAATAAATGTGAATTAGGACTCTCAACAAGTGTGTAGAAGTTATGTTTTACGGCAAATTTTTATTAAGCAGTTTCCAGTATATACACATTATTTCCAAAATGATGTTTGAAACACGATAGAGTGTGGGGATATCCTAGATATTTCTATGTGTAAAGTGAAGACGCAAATGCAAAGAACGATGCTGATTTCTGTGCACTGGTGACGCAGCGGTAGGATTCACGCCAAACACGCAGGTGGTTCCGGTTTCAGTACCCAGCCGACGCACTCCTTTAACTTGCTGAGCCAGTAATGGGACAAGTAAAGACGGAAATTTGGGCGTGAAGCTAGCAACCTCATCTGGTAAAAATAAACACCAGTGTGGCGGAAACTTGGTGCCTTACGTTCCACTTCTGTTATTAGTAAAGACAACGTATAACAAAAAAAATATGAATCTTATTTAGCCAAGGACTGAAGCCTCCTATCTAATAGTTTTACTCTTGTTTATCTGATTTCGTTGTCTGTCATGGAACAATTTACCACTCAGAGACACAATAGTAATAAATAATAATAACTGTAAACTTTATCTAAACTGTGACTGAATACTTGAAATATATCCGAATAGTTTCATAAAAGAACATTAGTTATATGCGTCATATTCTTTTATATCTACAGATTGACGTAAGTATTAAGCTTTGGTTGTTTGAATCTTACTGTAGTGATAGCTTACTCATCTGATCACGATCAGGTGTAGTTAGTCTTTCCACTCAAAGGCACATCATGTAAATCCTGAAGAAATGATTTCGTATAACTTTTGGTAGGTTTTCACCTAGAGATCAAAAGAAGTTCATTTGATGTGATTAACATTATATTGTCTACGATCTTGCCTTGTAACCGGAAGGTCCTGGGTTAAAAACTTAGTGGCTGAGTACTGCTGATGAGTCCCATTCTAGGATGTAACAACTGTCCAGTACTCCCTATTTTTTCAGTGGTTCTCTAACTGACATCGTTTGGTTGTCAAACTTGAAAAAACAAATCAAATCCTCACAAATCAACTCCTAGGAATGTTATATATCTTGAAATGAACAGTACTAAAAGGGTTTCCGTCTCAGAATATATACATATATATATATTATCACTAAAAGACCAGGCGAACTACATACAAAAAGTATGCTAACCTGTTCAAATTATGATCAATGATACATTGCCACTTTGGAGAATACTTCTGATCCAATTTCTCCTTAATAAATACTTTCATCTTGTTATAATCATTATTGTATGCGTGTATTGCAGTGATAACAATATCTATGACGGACCGATACATTTCTTTGTCCATATAAATCTTTTTTATTCTGATTGACTTTTCATATATCTTAAATCTTTTCATTATTCTTTGATCTATTATTTTACAATAATCCGATAGTAGAAATAACGTATATAAATTATGAAGCTTATCAAATGAATTATTGCATGTAAAACAATAAAAAAACTGTTCTACAATAAAATAATGAACGACAGTGCTAATAAAGTGATAAACCTACACGATAAACAGTATGTGCAAACATATGAAACTGCATAATCAGGTGTAAATTTCAGCTTAATATGTATGATTTGAGAAAAAAGAAAGAAAGAGATTTTACCCACTGTGATTTGCTTGCCTCTTAAATTACAGCATAAATCGAGTAAATCTGATAAGTTTATAGTGCAATTTATCACGTGCTTGAATTGCATGCTGAAATTTGCAGTTGACAGTTGAGGTAACCTATTGAAACAACCTGCGTTTGGTTGTTAGGTGGTCTGTAGGCACCTGTTTTTTTATTACACTTAGTTATAACAGTTTTGTTTCCCACTGACCACTTGAATTTACGTGCAGTTGTGTAAAGGCTTATAATACTGCATACCTAACTACCCAATTGATGTTCACTATAGTGTAGAATGGTGTTAGGAACTATCACTGAAGCTGTGGTCTATTTACAGATTGAACTAGTATCGACTATAAGTATGAAGACGTTGACAGTCACATTTCACTCCGAGTTCTAAATTGTTGCTACATTTTTCTTCGCAAGGTTAACTCAGTTGGCGAAATCAATGGAGTCTTGTCCGTACACAATAAATAGATAAATAGTGTTGATGAAGCAACTTATGCTTGTTAATACACTTCTTAATAGCCGATACCTTTGAAATAAGTGCCACTTATTCCACTGACCTGCCTAAATAAACCTTGTTAGATGAAGGGGTGTCGAGCCCTGACTTGGTGGTTGAAGTAGAGCACTTAAACTGATGAGTTACTCCTAAATGTATTAACAGCAAGTATGGCATACTGAAAAGTGAATTTAAACGGGCCAGGTGTAAAGAGGATAGTCATTAAGCGTTTCATAGTTCACATTTGTGTTCATCTGTTAAATTTTATCAGGCTGATTAAACGTCTACTTCAACTGTATATTTTTTTCCACTTCATTTTCAGAGTTTCTTAATCATGTTATGTCTTTGACAGTTGAACAAGTTGTCAGGAAAATTGTATTTGCTACAGAAGGATGATGAAAGCTGCTTGCTAAAATTACAGAAACATTTCACGAATTATTGTGCATAAATATATCCTGTGAGAGTCTTATCGGAACATTTACCCACCACAATTCTTTTGAGATTTAATATTCTAACCCGAAGCAAGGATTATGTTATGGAACTTAAGACAACAGGAAAATTAGGCGATAAGCTTAAATAGTGTATTATTTATTCACTGTGAAGTTGTAAATTTGGCTTTAGAATTTAAGACATAGTTTTAGACTCGACTCTTTAGGAATTTCTATACGTGTTTGAACTTTGACCTGTAAGAGACTAGATCTGTAACTGACATGCAGCGCTATTACCAGTTTGGTTGGATATGTACTAGTTAAAATAAAACTAAAAACACCGAAAGTGTGCGCAGATTAACTAGAAGTTTATTTGGCTTGTATTTGGATAACTAATTTTGGCTTACTTATTTTTGCTATAGGTCTATTTTAGTTTGGAGAAGGATTCACTGCGGGCCCTTCGTTACTCTCCAAAAATAAAGTACAGAGAAAGCTCGAATCTTTGGGCAAAATTTCAGTATATTATTTCATAATTAAGTTAATTTCATGTAAAAAATTAAACTCTTTCCCCTGTTTAATCAGCCTAGCCAAAGCCCTCCAAAGCAGACAAGTGTAATCCTGAGTTTAGTAGATCCAAGCAATTCAGACCTCTCAGTATTGCGATGATTTTTTATTTATTTTTGATTACAGCTTGATTCCACACTGTATTTTTGGTACAAGTGTGGAATTTTCAGCGTGCATATCGGTAGCCCGAAATTCGCAGGCCGACCATAGATATCAGGTGTGCGTCGGCGTGGGCTCGAACCCCGGACCATGTGCATGGTCGGCGAGAGTCCTAACCACTGTGCCACCGACGCACACAAGTCTGAGTTAGAATCATTACAATAACAGCTGTTTCTTGAGACTGCTATCTTGTCCCATCTTTTCTAATTGCATTTGGAGTAAGGAAAGTAGGGTTATTTTGATGTTTTTCTGCTTAAAATACCATGTAGAATAAACGAAGATGAGCAGATGAAGCAGTATTACAGTAAATGAACTAAATAACCCTTTAAATTGTCATTTGTAGTATCTAATTTGTTCCTATAAGAAATCCGTTAATGTACATTCGTCTTACAAACTAAAAGTTGATAGGTTTTGTGGTCAAAGTAGTCTACACATTGATAGATTGTCAGATTTACTTATTTGCGTTGGTTTGGAGGGATTTTATTAGTTTCAGGATTACATCTTGAAATGACATCGGTTTGAGGACCATTGGAAAACCTGGAGAGATAGCTATTTCGCCCACTCACTGAGGATTTATTTATATTATCGTTAAATCACTCTTAATAAACGTAAAGTTAGGCTAGTAGGTGTTGTATAAACGACTAAAATCAAGTTATTCAGTAGCTGATTTTTGTTGTTCTAGGTGTGTGAATCTATAAATGTGGGAATAATTGGAAACATCATCCCATAATATTATTTCGCAAAGTGTTAGCAAGGATAATACTTCTAACAAGTAAGACAAGATGGCTTTGTGACTCATCACCCCTGATTCTGCATGCAGATGTATTCAGTCTCTGTAATCTTTCATATTCCTTCCTACCATTACCCATTCTGTTTCACTCTCATACTTGTCAAACTCTATTGATTCTCTCCACTCATCTTCTTGTCTACCTCTGTGTGCTATTTGGAACGTGGCAACTCGAACTGCTGCACTTCGGTGCCAAGTTCTATGTTGAATCCAGACAGACAGATGCAGATGACTGGGTTTCGTTTATACATAATACTTAAAGTTGTGGGTTGTTTTTTATTTTAGGAGGGCCTCCGATGACATGCCACCTTTCAGGAATGGTGATAAAGCTCAGAAGCTGTCGAGGAGATGATTAATAAGGCATAGATTAAAAATATTCTGACATATGGACAGTAAATAATAATAACACGACAGTAATTATTAAATTCATGTGTATCTCGTGGTTTAGTTGTAAAACTAGTTCATTATTATGCTAGCTTAATACTCCCTGAAAATCAGTTATTTTTTCTTATTTTTACGGATGATAACGAAACGACTGGTGGATCAGCCTGATTTCTATGATGAAATTGTGTGTTTTTATAAAACAGCCTCTGCTAGTTAGAATAGTGGAACACAGGGCTTCAAGCTGGAACGTTGAAGTTTCGGGAGCAGTGGTGCTTGTTTTCACATGTTCAGCCTTCCCTCTTTACCGGTCTTTTGTTGGCCTAGAGGTAAAGGAATGTGTCGGCTGGGAATCTAACTCCGAACATTATGAGTGGTTGGACAGCATTCTACCGCTCTGTCACCGACGCACTAAACATTATCAAGGCCAGGCGCAAGCATATAGCACACAGCCTTCTTCAAACCTCGCACACAACCATTAGGACACTACTTAATTCAACAGTTTCATGGTTAAGTTAGCTTCATATTTTTTCATTGTAATGTCAACTCGATATTACCATTTTCACGCAGATGAGTTTTGGTGGACACAAGTTTAGCTTCAAAGTACCATAAGTCATGTTTTCCTTGTACAAATAAATAAAATATTTTTTAAGAACGGAAATTAAATCTATTGTTACAAGAATTCTTCATTTTTTATTGCATTCCTTTGTGTTGCGAGTGGAACATACGGCTTCACACTTGAGCTTTGAAGCTCCAGTAAAATTTGTGTTTTTTTATGTGGTGGGGTTTCTACCCTCACTGCCAACCTTACGTCTTTGTAGGGCTTACAACTAGCTAAGGGATGTGAGATTGTGCGTAGGCCGGGAATCGAAACCCGAATCATGTACCCAGTTGGTGAACATTCGACATCTGAATCACCAACGTGTGTTGTTGTAAGAAGATAGACAGATAGTATTCAAAACTTTATTAGGTTAATTGTGAAGTGACGAAAGATGAGTTTACCGATTTATTCTTGCACGAAATTCAAGATAAGCAAATTGTTTCCCTTAATACTTATTCAACTTCCGGTATGAGAGTTATTTTGTTCAATAAGCGTTTTAAATTGGTTGAATGACACTCGGTTCTTGTATTTTATTATATGTAAAAATGAGCATTAAAAAAAGAGAGTTAAGTATACATAAGAACCTTAGAAACTAATTATTTTGAAAGCTAATAAACAGAGACCTCAATAAGTTAAAGTCAAATATTATTTCGTCAGATAGCAAACTGCACAGCCTGTAAATTAAAATTTTCCCAAGGTTACCAAAGAATATGTGGTCGCGTAGGTGTGGGAGATACCCAGAATAATGTTTATGTGGCTCGTAAATTATGACACTATTTAGAAACACTTCACAGGATTGCATATTTTGTTTTGCTCTACCACACTATTAGATATTGAACCAGAAGGTTCCTTCCTCAAGTTAACTATTGTCTATGACAAATAAGTGGGACATTGGTTGAAGTTTCTTTGGATGACAATTCAGTATGATTATTATTAACAGATGAGCAGTCTGGGTTGCTAATGTGACGACAAATGCATTGATACACACTGTTCATTCGCCTGATAGCTTGGCATCACCTGTGGTAACTGCAGTAGAATGGTGACCCGAATAGCATTTGGATTATGCTGATGAGCTGGCAGAGTGTTAGTTTAGCAATTCAAAGGCTGATGGTCTGACACATGCAGTGACACACATTTTCATTTCAAGATCAACCATCACCTACTACATCAACAGTATTCTGTCAAAACAAAGCTATCTCAGAAAATCACATCATCAAGTAAATAATATTAAGATTGAAATTCATATAATTTGACTCTTCTACACATTAGTAATAGGTGAAATTTAAAATTATTTCCCTGGGTTCTGAGTAGAATAAAGGGCTTCAACAGGTCGTCTCCATTTTATTCTGTTCTCTGCAGTCCTCTTCTGCTAGCCACACGATTGCCCATATTCACTCATCTACTCCTAACACGATCTCAAGCATGTCATCCTCAGACACCAAACTCATCGTCTC